GGTACAGCCACAGCTTGTGCTGTTGAACTAGCGGTGGACTGATTCAATTGCTCAGATACTGCAGGTGTAGGTATTAATGTGCTACATAAGCTACTAATATTTATGTACAGGTCAGATATTTTATCTTGAAGTTCGGTTACCTTTTCATCTACGATGTCTTCAGGTAGGGGAGTTGTAGAGAACAACTTATTAACAATTTTTTCAAATTCAGCATGTTTTTGAGAAGCTGCAGTTGAAAGTAACTTTATTCTATTTATTTGTTGATCATTTAAAGATTCAAGGGCTTGAACAGTACTTAATGTTGTAACTTGCTTGTCGATACTACTAAGTCTTTGTTCAATAAGTTGACTTTGCTTGACAAAAGATAAAAATCTCATTTTGGAATAGAATAGTCAAACACACAATAAAACTCAAAAAGTCTGTATAAACTCCACCTTGGAATTTATAAATTAAAGTTATTTCTTCACTAGAAATTTCAATAACTTATTTTACAAAGTATTTGCAATATAAAATCACACTAAATTATTTACATTTTAATTTTCTTTCCAGAAGTTCCAGAAGTATCATTTAATACAATAATGATCAATCGACAATATTACTGTACAAAGCAATCAGCTGTTTTCGTGATAGATGAGAATCAATAACATTTGTAGATAATCAGAACAAGGAAAGGAAGGATATTTATTTCTGGCTACACAATGAATATCCTGGAATGCAAACAGAATGCTGAGAGGGGAAGGGGGGTATGTCTGCTAGAGATAAGGCTCATGAAATGGCTGATATATAATCATGAATATTTAAATTGGACATGAAACTAGACTTTCACTTTTGTGCATGTTTGGAAATGAAATATGAAAAATCATCAAACTTAAATATGTTTGATTTTGAAAATATATAGTACAATGTCCTATGATTTAAAAAAATCAATAAAACAACACTGGCTTATTTAATAAATGTTCACAAATTATAAAAATGTGTTTGTGATAAAATAAAAAATGTATTTCACAATGAAATTAAATCTTAACAATTCTTTAAATATTTCCAACGCACTGAGTTTATCCGTCCGGCTTGAAGTACCAAAAATGTGGGGAATTTGTATTAATTAGAAAGCAATGTGGACTGTATTATAGTAATTTTGAATTGGATACACTAACCTTTTGTTATTAAACTGATGCGTAGACTGGGGGCCCCCTTTGATGAATCCTGAAATGCTATAATGTTGATAAGTTCACTTTTTCTCACTATATGATGTTAAAAAACACTTCAATTGTCTTTATAATAAGCTATAAGCCAGCGGTAAATATTTATGTTGGTATAGAGGTTTATGGTATTTGAAAATGTAGGAGAAAAGGCATGTTAAGTCCTCATAGCAACAGGACTTGCCCAAGAGTGTGCCACTACTCTACTGAAGGAAGGAGTTGGTCATGTGATACATATCAGTGACCAATCAGAGAGCTAGTCTTGAAACCATTGGGATTTGAAGATACTGATGCACTCTATGAGGAAAACATTTAACTATTTGAAATGGTATTTAAATGGAGATTGTGGTGAAATCAGTTACATATTATGTACATATTATTAGAGTGCATTAAAATTAAAAATTAATATAAGAATACTTAGAACAAAACAGTGTATATATTTGACAATTGTAATAAAACGTTACTAGGTGGCGTTCGCAGAGGCATCCACAAAATTGAGCGGAGTCATCAAGGTTTCATATTATATTGTTTTTGTCTTACTGCAGTAAAAACAGTATTTTTTCATGCATGCGCTGCGGGTCTAAAGTAGCATTTTTAATATTTAGGGAGTAAAAATCGTTTTTAGCCTCTATGGAGTAAAAATCAGTTGTTGTCAACTCAGTTGTAAATTTCGATTGTAAACGATTGCATGTATCGAAAATATGTATCGATTTGTGCTTCGTAATCATTTTAACATATTACAGTCTACAGTCTCTTCCCGTAGCATTTTAGCATTGCAGATACATTAATCCATTCCCAAACTCAACACTGCTCACCTTTACTACTTCCTTCACCACACCCTACGTCGTGGACCTGTTTCCCTCTCTTCCCATAGCATTTTAGGATTGCCGATACATTAATTAAATTGCCAAAGACAGTTCCCACACTCTGCGCTGTTAGCCTTACTACTTCCTTCACCATTTACTACGTCTCCTTCCTACTGGCCTGTTTCCTTCCTTTCTCATAGCATTTAAGTATTACAAATTCATTTATCCATCTGCTCAAACGGTTCCCCCACTCTGCACTGCCAGCCTTTACTACTTCCTTCACCACTTACGTCGTGGACCTGTATTCATCGCTTTCCATAGCATTTTAGTATTTTAGATACGTTAATCTAATTGCAACAAACATCCCCACTGTCCGTACTGCTAGACTTTACTACTTCTTTCACAATTTCCTATGTCTTGGGCATGCTTCCATCCCTTCTCATAGCATTTCAGCATTGCAGATACATTAAAACTGCTACAAACGGTTTCCAGTTCCCACACTCCACACTGCTCACCTTACTACTTCTTTCACCTGTTCCTACGTCGCGGATCTGTTTCCCTCTCTTCCCATAGCATTTTAAGATTGCAGATACCTGAATCTAATCGTCATAAACAGATCCCACACTCCGAACAGCTCGCCTTTACTACTTCCTTCGCCACTTCCCACATCGCGGACCTGTTTCCCTCCCTTTCCGTAGCATTTTAGGAACGTTGTGACCTTAATCTAATCGTCATAAACAGTTTCCATACTCCAGACTGTTCACCTTTACTACTTCCTTAACCTCTTCATACGTCACGAACCTCAAGCTAGTGTCGTCATTTGATTATAGTACCTGGGGACCGAGCTTTGCTCGGGGAAAATCATTTCACTCTGAGTGAAATGCTTCAGAGTGCTTTCAGTTCACTCTGAAAGCACCGTAGTATTGGAGATGCATAAATCCACACATCTACATCCTACACAATTTCCTACGTCATGGATCTGTTTCCCTCCATTCCATTGCATTTAAAGATTGCAGATACCTTAATCTAATCGTCATAAACAGTTCCCACACTCCGGACTACTCGCCTTTACTACTTCCTTCACCACTTCCTACGTCGCGGACCTGTTTTCCTCCCTTCCCATAGCATTTTAGGATTGCAAATACCTTAATCTAATCGTCATAAACAGTTCCCACACTCCGGACAGCTCACCTTGATTACTTCCTTCATCACTTCCTACGTTGCGGACCTGTTTTCCTCCCTTCCCGTAGCATTTTAGGTTTGCTGATACCATAATCTAATTGTCGTAAACATTTCAAACACTCCGGACAACTCGCCTTGACTACTTCCTTCACCACTTCCTACGTCGCGGACCTATTTTCCTCCCTTTCCATAGCATTTTAGAATTGCAAATACCTTAATCTAATCGTCATAAACAGTCCCCACACTCCGGACAGCTCACCTTGACTACTTCCTTCATCACTTTCTACGTCGCGGACCTGTTTTCCTCCCTTCCCGTAGCATTTTAGGTTTGCTTATACCTTAATCTAATTGTCATAAACATTTCCAACACTCCGGACAACTCGCCTAGACTACTTCCTTCACCACTTCCTACGTCGCGGACCTATTTTCCTCCCTTTCCATAGCATTTTAGGATTGCAAATACCTTAATCTAATCATCATAAACAGTTCCCACGCTCCAGACAGCTCGCCTTGACTACTTCCTTCACCACTTCTTACGTCACGGACCTGTTTCCCTCCCTTCCCATAGCATTTTAGGATTGCCCATACCCTTATCTAATCGCCATAAACAGTTCCCTCACTCCTGACAGCTCGCCTTGACTACTTCCTTCACCACTTCCTACGTCACGGACCTGTTTCCCTCCCTTCCTATTGCACTTAAAGATTGCAGATACCTTATTCTAATCGTCATAAACAGTTCCCGCACTCCGGACTACTCGCCTTGACTACTTCCTTCACCACTTCCTACGTCGCGGACCTGTTTTCCTCCCTTTCCATAGCATTTTAGGATTGCAGATACCCTAATCTTATCGTCATAAACAGTCCCCACACTCCGGACTGCTCGCATTTACTACCTCCTTCATCACTTCCTACGTCACGGACCTGTTTCCCTCTATTCCCATAGCATTTTATGATTGCCTATACTACTTCCTTCACTACTTCCTACGTCACGGACCTGTTTCCTTCCCTTCCCATAGCATTTTAGGATTGCAGATACCTTAATGAATTCGTCATAAACAGATTCTAGACTTCGCACTGCTACCCTTGACTACAATGTATCGAGTAATCTTAAGTATAATCTTTGCTCAATATTAACAAGTGATGTTTTTCCTTTTGTACTGTATTTGTAATTTCCTAGTATACTGTGGGTAGTTGGCTTATTATGAGCACATGCTAAAACTTCAAATCTTTTGTTTACTTTTTACTTGTTATTTAATTCAGCCAACATGGTTACCTAGCAACCCATAAGACTAATGTTAAAAAATGTGATTTTCAGTTTCATTTTTCTACGGATTCCTGAGAGACTTTTTTAACGCCATATAGATGTTGGCACTCACCGATATGGTCTTTATCACCATGCAAAATTTGAAAACGATTGATTCAGCCGTCTAGGAGGAGTTTGCGTATTACGAAATGCATAAAAGTCGACGTATAAGAGCTTCGCTCGCTTCGCTCGCTCCGCTCAATTAGCCTACATTGATTTTTGATTTGTTTCATTATAAGCGTTGTACACTACAATTCAGGAAAAGGCATTTTTGTGCAATTAATTTTGTTTTTTGACAATTTACCATTGTATTAAAACGTCATTATCCTATGTAGCTTTTATATTTGTTCAATTATAAACTATTTTTGAAAAATATATATGTTGGTCCGTGGCAATGACCGGGGCGTCGCATATATGCGACACTTGGTAGCGAATGTGTTAAAAGTAGGCTACTACTCAGTTCTGTTAATACAAAGCCAAAAATCAACACCTAAATAAATATTTACTTACATCACTATCCAACATTTTTGCAGCCTGAATTCCTTTCTGGTAGAGTTGTACATAAATGTCTTTTTCTTTCTGCTGTTGCTCTTCCATCTGTCTGAATTTTTCTGCATAAGCTTCAATTTGTTTTTTCAGTTCAACATTTTCTGCCAAGACGTTGGTTTGGTCAGCTTGTTTGCTGCTCTCTGCCTCTATAGTCTCTTGTATAATTCCGTTGCACAAACTTTCTGTGTGACTAATGCCTTCTAAATGGTCTCCATTGAGATTATTGCAGTCTTTGTACATACTCTCCTGCATATTGGCCAATACCCTGGTCAATTCCTCCTGCTTGTTTCGTAACTGTATATTTTCTTCACTCAACTCTTGCATATTGGCCAATACTTTAGTTAATTCCTCATGCTTATTTCTTAACTGTGTGTTTTCTCCACTCATCTCCTGCACTTTGACCAATAACCTAGCTAATTCCTCTTGCTGGTTTCCAAACTGTGTATTTTCTTCACTCTTCTCCTGCATATTGGCCAATACTTTGGTCAATTCCTCTTTCTTGTTATGTAACTGTGTATTCTCTTCCCTCAACTGGTCAAGATTCACCTTTGTCGCCACCAACTCCTCCTTGACATTATTCAAACTGGCTAATTCGGCGACCAATAATTGTTTATCACAAGACAGAGTTTGGTTTAGGTTTTCTAGTTCCGTTATTCTCGCTACGTAATTGTGATTAGATCCGTTCTCGAGATTATCATTCAGCTTTTCAAGCTCGTGAAGTTTTTCTTTACAGTCTTCATAAAGGGGCCTCAGAGCGTAGTACCTAAACAATCATAAATATTATTGTCTATTCTTCTTTGAAACTAATAAATATTTTTCATTTTTTGTTTCAGAGACTTAATTTACTATAGGTTAACAAATTTGCTAAACCTAAACTACAATTACATCACTTTTTTTGTTTTAAATCTTAACGTATATTAATATGCCAGATGGCTGATGCTAGAATCCATAGAATAATATTGGAATGAAAAGCAGTGCTTGATAAAACAGTCTTTTCTGCCCAAATGAAAAATGTCTTACCATAGGATAGCACTATACCATTCACCACTAAAACCACTGCTGCTAGAGCTGATTACAAGATATGTAAAAAAATGTATTTTATATTCAATCGTATTAGTTGTAGGCCTAACAAGACCTGCAAAATTTGTGAAAATTATGAGGAACGTCTAAAAACATAAATGGTGGTCAAGCAGTAAAATTTATCAACATTTACCTATCATTCACATCAGTTATACGCTGTAGGAGAGAGTCGACTTTGTCGTTGTGTTTCTCCTTCAATTCTCTAATCTCGTCTTGATGTTGCCGATGTAGAGATTCCAGGGTGGACTCCAGAGTCTTTATCTGATTGATGTAAGTCTGAAGATTTTGGGACGAGTTGAGATCTTCAAAATGTCCCGAGTCTGTCAACGACGGGATCAGAGGCGGCGAGGAAGAATACCTGTGAATCAGAATGTCTACTAATTTAACGAATCTTTCCATGTGAATACTAAAAGGCAAATACACAGATTTTAGTTTAAAACGTTTTAGTACAAATCTGACACTTACATATAGGACAATTTGGTAGTTTTTAAGTAAAATAAATATTCTCTCATAACATGGAACAAAAAGTTAAATGTATCCTCTCAGTCAGCAAGCAGTGGTGGGGCGGGAACTTGTGGGAACCGTTCCCAATCGGCTTTTTCCAACAAAACTAAATTGTAATAGGATTTTTGTTTTCTCTGAGACAATGGTAAGCGTTGCTGTACTGGAAAGTGTAAGAATACACCACTGCTTGTGAATTTTAATAGTCACAACTTTTGCTAATCTTATCAAAGTGGGTGTGTGAGGGAATTCCCACTTCTTCAATGACAAAATATTTCAAGGCTTATAACATACTAAAATGTTATCATTAGTAGCTACTTATGAATGCATCTCCACTCAGTAGATCTTGGTTGGAATGTTATAAGTTATTTTAACAACTACAGCAGCAAGGAAGGCAGCTTACCCAGGTGTCCGTGGTTGCTGAGCGTCTCCCCCTCCGCTACTTTGTTCCACTGCCACCTCCTCCCCCTCGCCACCACTGTCAGCCTTCAGTAGTTTCAACTCCAACACCTCCTTGGTCAGCCGCTGAATCTCTCTATCTTTGTCTGCTAGCTCTTCTTGTGCCTCTTTCAACAGGTTCTATAAAGCACAGGGGAAATTTAAAATGAGTCAAGCAGGATTTAAATCTATCATGAGTTTTCTTACACAAAAAGTAAACAAAAGACACAATAATATTCTTCTTCAGTGTTTTTGACGATAACTCTAGATAGACTAATAATAATCTAATCAATATGAAAGGTGTGAGTTCATAATAATGCTATCGAATATTACAAAAGCTTTGTATAGTTAATAATAACAAATTTACTATTCAATACTTTATCTATGTGTAAAGGCAGGGTTTGATTTAAGGTAATGGAATTGGTCGATGGTCACCCTAGAGACAGTTTTTAAGCTATTTAAAAATTGTTTTTTAGAAGAATTTTTAAGTACTGATACTGAATATTATTCAACTGATTTTGTCCAACTAAAGCACAATAGTCTATTGATTAGAGGGAATCAAAGAGGACGGATGAAGTGGAGAAACCATAGCTTTTGCTAGATTTCAATTCTAGTAGGTATCTCAAATTCTAGAAATCAAGCACAGTGCAGAGACAAAGCCTGAAATTTCTTCTCAAACATTTTCCAACAAAGAAAGCTCAGTAGAAAAGTAAACTTAAAGATCCACCAGCTTAACACCTACTCTGAGTTTGCGGATGGTGCGGTTGGTCCGCTGCGTAGGTGTGAGGTAGTCGTCAGTCTCCATGGAGTGGGGGGAGCAGTGGTACACGTAGCGTTTGCTGCGGCCGCTGTACGTGGTGCCGTTGCGTGCAAAGTGTGCATGATCACACTGAGACATATTGCTGCACACGCTTGCCCCGCTGACACTGCTGAAGCTCTGTACGGAGGCAGCATCGTCCTCCAGGTCATGACTGAAGGACGTCGCAGTGTTAAGCGATTGCTACAATCAAACATTACTATAACAGTTGGATTTAATATATTCTATTTAATTCTCTTTCATGAGTAAGATAACTTGTAAAATTTTTTATTTAAATTGATTTTAGAAGATTGCCATTTAAGTCTCTTTTAAGACAGTACAGTAGAACCTCTTTAATCCGAACCCCCGTAATCCGAACGTCCCCTAATCCGAAGCCCTCATTGCTGTTCTCTATACACAGAACAGTAGTTCTTCATTGGATACTGTATTTATAGGTATACGCACCGTAATTGTTTCTATTGAAATGTACCACAATATTTATTCCCTATGTTTACTACTGTAATAGTGTAATAAACAATAATGTAAACAATGTATAATAGTGTAATGTGTGTTTATAAACACTGTATTTTACTTTATAGGCCTAAAGCATTTTTCACTTTTCCCTGGCTATTGTTATGTAAAAACAACAACATGTTCTGTAATCCGAACTATTCAATAGTCCGAACTACCCCCGGTCCCAATTAGTTCGGATTAAAGAGGTTTAACTGTAGTATATTTCATCACTATAGCCTCAAGAAAAGGTTTTTGATACAACATGTTTGACTAAAACATCTTTGCCACCTATCTACCCAGGAAACAGGCAGACTGAATAATCTTTTTCTGGATGTTTTATCAGTAAAGGGATTTAGGATTTTATATTTAAAATATGATAGGAATTACATGCCTTAAGATCCTATCTATTGAACCAATATGTATAAAAAACACATCTCCACTCTTTCCATCAGAACAAGGTTTATGAACTCAATACAAATCTTAAAAAATTTGTACAAGAGTAATAGATATAGCCTATTTATTTATTTACACAATTATTTTGAGTAAAAGCGCAAGTTGTTTGAATAGTTACAGAAAATCTACAGGAAGTGAAATCAGAATGCAACTAACTGCAGAATTATCAGTAATCCACTTCTTAATTAGCATGTTTCTCCTCCAGCGTCCGGTTTATGAGGTTGGATGCCTTTGAATAATGAACGATCTATTCAACAGAGCATGAAAAATTCCGCAGTACTCTCCATACTAGTGTGGCTTTTACAATTGAAACTGATTGGAATTTTATCCTATCGACCTCATTAATTAACGTTGACTATAGTACAAGATCAATAAACAACTAAGGCCTTTTATTTCTAACACATATTTAAATAGTTACCTAATTCAGGATATTTCTTAGGTCGTAATATTATAATATTAAATAACTGATATAAGACAAAATTTAGATTTTAAGTTTAATCAGTTTGAAAAGTTTGAATGCAGTATTTTTCTATAGAGGTTTTTTTCATTCATTGTAAAAAAAAGAAGACAAGTATCTTTTTCCGTCTTCTTAAAGTATGCCAACTTGTCTTTGAATCTGAAGAATTCAAACTTCTATTGAATCACCTAATAAAAAAACCGAGTCCTTCTTAAAAATTGAATCCAAAATATTAAAAATTTAAATCTAATCATCCTTACAGTATGAAAAGTTGGTAATTTATTTAGACCTATGATGTAGGCCTACTATTTTTCGGGTTTTATTATTTCCTTAAACATAATATTAGCTTATATTAGGCCCTGAGATTTGTTTACAATAATGTACCTACAATCATTAACACACAACACCATGGAAAGATGAGAGACTGTGTTTATAATCTGTAAAAATACAGTTGCTAAAGGACTGATCCGACCATCAAAAACCAACAGTAAACCTAATTTGAATTGCAAATTAATCCAATTCACTTTTAAAAACTTCATCCTTGTCCACAGTTTACGAACAATGAACTTGTTTGAAGCATTGCAAATTTGTGAATCTAAATTCCACTTGCAACAATACATTGAAATGAAATAATATTTATTTCCCATTGATTTTATACATACATTGTATTTTTTTACTCACAAATAATACAGCAAAAGCAAACACAGATGAAAGTATATGACATTTTGTTCTCCACACAACTTATTTAGCTAAGAAAAGTCATATATTGTAGGAATAAAGTGAACAAAAATGTAAAAAAACCTCCTATAACCAAGAAAAAAGTGTGCATAGGTACTAGAGTCGCGATAAGCATTAATTTATGGGAAATCGAAAAATTTTTAAGGAAAAAAATTTAATAATTCGTATAAAAATTCCTACATTTTTAAAATCATGTAGTTCTTTGAACTGAATTTTCAGCGTGAACGATAAAAACACTTGTTATATAAATTGGAGTAATTAATAAAAATCTGGTGAAAGATTCATGGGGAGAGTTAGAGAGTGTATGAGTCAGTCAGTGAAGGTTGTGTATCAGTGATTATGTAATGTATTGGCAGGGCTACTAAAAAAACCAAGGGCGTCAGATCATAAAGAGTTGATTCCTTTCTCTGATTTAGACAATAGTTTAACCTTAAGTTTCTCATCAAAACAAGCTAGAAATTTTGCCCCTAATAAATGTAAGTCTACTACTATTAACTTATATTTGGAAGAAACCATATAAGCTACAGTATGCTAAGATGGAATATACAGTAGAGTCCTGCAAACTCGGCACTCGATAACCCGGCAGTCTGGATAACTCGGCCATCACCTGGCTCAGAAAATTAGTGATATTTTGAGTCCGAGTTAAACATGGACTCAAGCCAGCTCAAGTAAAATCATTCACAACTCGTACCAAGGATTTTTTATACTATATCTGATGACTTAATACTGACTTGTAATTTGTAATAGAAAAAAGGAGGTTAAAGAGCTTAAAATATGTATTGTCCTTATAACCTGGCATTTCACTAACTCTGCACCCTTCCAGTCCATATTACGCCAAGTTTTTGGGACTCTACTGTACAACTTTTTTATCCTCACCAACAAAGATTTTGCTTTCTAAACTATAGAACACCACTTACTAAACTGCGGTGCCTGTTCAACACGGGTCTGTGGCTGGTATTGCTCCGATGTTCTTGAATGGGTGGGCAGCCGCCCAGCCGCATAGAGCCTGAGCGTCGAAGGGGAGACGGGCTCATCACTGGTATTCGACTTTCTGACTTACTGTTCATTCTGAAACGTACCAACGCAATTGGATCTCTAGCACCATATTTTAAGATAACTTTTCACTAAACCTTAGACCATTAAACATTAGTTCAGTTACATTGCAGTTAACCTTCCATCGGGCGCATCACAGAAGTTACCTCCGGGTCACTACATTTTTCGTTATAAAAACCATCATTTTTGTTTGGCAGGGCTGTAGCCAGCCGTACCTCACGCACCTCTTTCAGGGAATCGGTTTTGGCTACTTTTACCCCTTTCCCAGTTGTCAGTCGAACTTGGTGAGTGGTTCGCGTCACTACTGGAAGTAGCTTCCGTGAGCGCCCTATGATGTAACAGGTTTCCTGCAGCCTAGTTCCGTATGCGCCCTTGTGTTTGACTTTATTTTGTGATATTATGGAATGGATGAAGAAGAACGAATTGCGCGATTGTTGGCTAGAGTTGAAAGGGAGGACAGGGAACAACATTTAGTGGAAAGCCCTGCGAGTGAGTTACTTCAGGACATTTTTTTCTCGAGAAAAAGCGCTTTGACAAAATAAGTTGTCCTTGTGAAATGATTTTTTTCATAAGACCATAGGGGTTTTTATGTCATACAATAATGCAATTTTTGTCAAAGAGCTTTGACAAAATGAGTTGTACCTATAACAAATGATTTTTTTTGTTTCTGTTTTTATGTCATATACACTATAGCAATTTTTTTCTCATTTTATACCGGATAGTAAGTTACTACTGTATCCAGGCCTATGTACAAAAAGTAAGTCTTTTTTATCCAAAGAACTTACGAATTCTTATTGTTTATAGGCTAACATTTTCTATTTTTTTTTGCGAATTTCCCATATAGGGAATTAAGCTATTACCGTAGGTCTCATGGTAAGACCTGGATCCAGGACCGATTTACTTTTTCGTTTTGATGTCCCCAGAGGCCAAAAACATCATCCGTTCAAATTCATAGGACTTTTACCTATGTGTCCGTTAGCACGATAAAGCAAAAGTGATCTGATTTTAATGAAATTTGGTACAAACGTTTAAACCTACATTTATACAAACAAGTTCGCCAACCAGCATGATCGGACCATGGGAACGTGGTTTTATGGGGGGATTTATGGGTTTAAAAAATGAGTTTTTCTCATTTTTCACCCTCAAAACATTAAATTTCCCAATTTCTCTCTAGACCATTTTGAAAGGTTAAAAACCAAATAATTTAGTATATTGAAGTGTTTTTGTATAGTTATTGGTTACGGAGAAAAAAATTTTAAATTTTAAATTTCAATGTTATTTTTATGGAGAATAAATAAACTGTTGTAGTTTGCTTCTTTATGAATATCTTTTGATCAAACTTGGCAAGTTTATTTATTATATATAATTGAAAATTAAACCAGGCAAATGGAAATTCGCTTAGTCTTCAGGTTTACTGTGGCGGGGGTATATATACAACTTAATTAATAAACTTAGTGTAATAGCTTATAAAAAATGTTTTCCTACATTTTTATTGATACCTATTAAAATGTTTTTTACTCGTCATTGTATAGTTTGTTTACTCCCGTAGGTAACTTTCATGAGCACCCTTTGTTGTTTGCAAATACGGGGAAGGTAACTTAAAAAATGTTTTTTGTCCAAATGGTAATAGTATGGGATAAAATAAATAAATAGGCCTAGCAGCCTAAACGTATGCCAAATTTGATCAACATAACTTATATCTAACTTATACCTAATCAAGCAAATACAAAAGTGTTCTTTTTCTCAAAAAGAATAACTTAACATAGTTGAATGTTTTAGGCCTACAGGGGTAGACTTTCATAAGTGGGGCCAAAAACAACCAAATGAAAATATCGTATAGATTATTTCATTCATTAGGGTAACCTAACTAAGTTAAGTTATCCAAACTTGATACAACCTATCGAATGAAATATTCGATATATCAATCGATAAGTTATTTTCATTCGGTTGTTTTTAAGTTTTAAAAAAACTAAGTTATAAAAGTCTAGGCCTACCTATGTACCCGCCTACAGTATTTTTTAATTTTCTCTGTGGCCTTTAATCTTAAAACAACCCTTTAATGTACCCGGTACAAAATTCTTTGCTTTTTAAGCTCTACACAATGGCCGTACCGTATTAAAAATCGGGGATGTTTATGTTTTGAGGGTAAAATTCTGAAAAATTTTTTAAATTTCAAAGCCACATAACTTAACCCTGTTCCCATGACTCGATCTTGCTAGTTCGCCACCTCGTTCAAGTTTATTCCGCCCTACACCTTCAAGCCAAATTTAATTAAATTTGTTCCAAAATTACTCGAGTTAAAAGTTATCGCGTTCACAGACACACCCCTCTTGGGCCTATGCCTACATACAAATTTGAACGAATAATGTTTTTAAGTTAAATAGCCTTTGAGGACATTAAGTAATAAGGTACACTTCCGTATCCGTCGTCAAAAACAAAAATGAAAGATTATTTCAAAACTCTTTATTTGAATGTAAGTAGGCCTAAGTTAATAGGCTAATTATTGAGCGGAGCGAAGCGAAGCTCTTATACTACACTCCTGCTTTTGTTTTACAAATACTCCTCCTGAACGGCTGAAGCGATCTGCACAAAATTTTGCACAATCATAGTAACCAACCATGGGAAGGTATAAATCTGAAATGGTACAAATCGGACCACAGGGCTTTTCCCTACGTGAATTTAAAATTTTGGAAATTTAACATGGGCCTTATGGGTTAATTGGTTGCCATGACATTATTTGCGAGATAATAAAAAGGTAAACAAGAGTCGCAACATATGTTAGTCAACGAATCATCTAAATAGTACATTACAAATACCGTACAGAGAAAAAGGGAATAACGATCGGATTAATATCATTGAGCATAATTTATTACAAAATGAATAACTAATAATAATTAGTGTTGCCTGAATAAGGCTGATGCACCATTAATTTAATCGAAATAGTCATTCCATTTACGTGAACCAAATATATAGTCCTACAATTGAATTTGTTTACTGCAAGTAGAAAATCCATTGACGTAAACCAGACGTACCATTGACTTATAGCAGTGGATATAGCAGATAGGCACTTCATTTAGGTGAATCAAATGAACCATTGCTTTGGATCCTGCAAGTAGTCAATTAATTCATTTACGTGAACCAAAATGCCATTGAGTTTGGATACTGCAAATATACATTCCATTTAAATAAACCTGAAGTAAGCCTACCATTGGCTTTGGATACTGCAAAAAGGCATCTTATTTGTGTGAACCAAATCGACCATTGACTTTGGATACTGCAAGTAGATTTCTTATTTATGTGAAGCAGGTGTATCATTGATTCATGATACTGGAAGAAAACAATTTACGTGAACCAAATGTACTATTAAGTTTAGATACTGCAAGTACACAATTCGTTTACGTGAACCAGACGTCATTGGCTTTAGAACCTGTAAATATACATTCCACTTAAGTGAACCACGCGTATCATTGACTTTGGATGCTGCAAATAGGCATTTTATTTATGCGAACCAAATTACATATGTAGTGTTTATGTAGTAGACATTTAATATACGAGAACCAGATGAAACATAGACTTTGGTTCCTGTAAGTAGACAATTCATTTACGTGAACCAGACTTATAATTGGATTTGAATACTGCAAATAGTCATTCCATTTATGTAAATCAAATAGATTATCGACATTGGATACTGCAAGTATTTAATCTCAATTACGAGAAACAGATGTGCCGTTGACTTTAGAAAAGTATTGGATTAATATGCTAGCTCCGTCCGCTCAATAATGCAAGCAGACAACTGCATTGTACACCTAGTTATTTACTAGGCTACGGTACCTAATGAGAATGTGGAAATTGTTACAGTCAAAAGAGAATTGAAGAATAAAACAATTATTTAGCAAAAAGAGCATTCTCACTATAGCCAAGGCCTAGTAACTTAGTAAATGTAGCCTAAATCTCTTGAAGACTAACTTAGGTATGGGTAAAATAAACTCTTCCATTGGAAGAATTATTAGACTAGGCTGCTAATTTAAAACCAGACATGACTTTTAAAACTGAAAATTGTTCTTAATTAAAAACATCATTCTAAAATTAAAATTTAACAAAATTAGTGTGAATTTTTAAAAGTGAATGTGCAGTCAATAAATTGCATTAGTCCCCTATTGCTATTATAAACAAACCCCTTGACAGTGAGCGCTGTCATTACTGTAAGTCTACCCTTACGAAAACATGACAGAAATTTCAATATTAATATAAACGTTCCTTGTGGTATATTCGTTAAAAAAATGAAGTTAAAAATGTAACATACCTGATTACATAAATGTATGAACCTTAATGGAAAGAGATTTCGATTTCGCAAATAACTCTAGGTACACAACAAAACTAAAAATATTCTTATTTCATGGTCTACTTTCCAAGCTGCCGTAGTGCCGTGGCACAGTTAATTTATCAGCTGACCTGGACGGACAGGATAAAAACAAAACAAAACACAACACAACAAAACTACTCGGAAATATGGTCAACGCCTGATATATCAGTTATATTTTGTACGGGTTTTTTAGTATTAGGTATTATACTATAGATAGTGTTTTAATTCGTTGGTAAACAAATCAATCGCAATTTAAAAATTAAAAAGATGATTCAATAAAACTAAATGTGCATGTGCTCAATCGCATCCAAATTTCACTGAAATAATATGTACAGTTGTTGACTCTGCATTTTTAACCACTTCCTTTACACTGCTTTGTAAATTGTAAGTAGGGTAAACCACTGGACTGGATTGTGGGTAAAGTGGCAACGCCAGAGAGAACATTGTAATAATTGCGTTGAAGAAAAAGGCCATCAAACATATCGATTATGGAAAATACGTCCAATTCGTACCAACTTAGTCTAGTTACGTAAAAAAGTACAGTAGAACCTCAATAAGAAGACCATCGATGACAAGTCAGATTACAAGTGTCATTTTCAAATCCCCTATGGAATTTAGTTTACCCCTAATCTAATCACACGTTGTAAAAAACCTCGTTAATAAGTCAACCTTGGTAAACATAAGTCTTACTTATCCTCATGAGAGTATTTATATCAAGGTTCTACCATATAAACAACACAGCCCTGTCCCTGTCAGAAATGTCAAAGTTGAATTTGAAGTACACGCTTTGACTACCTATATAACAATTTCTACATTCACCTTTCATTAATATATTGGTGTTAAAATACCCACCAAATTGTGTGTTCCTACACTCATCACTCATCTCCATTCATACTGACTTGGCTTAAAATACCTACTTTGTATGGTCGCCATTTAATTGAAAAGTATAAAAGAATAAAAAGTGTCGCTGTCATAAAGAATTTAGATGAAATTAAGGAGGAGCGGAACTTTATCCCCCTGAGCAAACCTGACGTCACAAACCAAGGGGTAAAATTCCAGCCGTGAAATTTTGAGTTGCACAACATCAGTTTAATAAATTGGAGGTGGAACAAACGTATATTTTCAAGGTTGTGAATTTAATTAGAACACATCAAATTATAAACCTAGAGTTTACGGGCCAGGGTTTTACCCCCGGACTTTTACCCCCTTCATGAGATCAATGTAAAATGTACGGCCCGGATTTATACCCCCGGAATTTTACCCCCCAGATTTTTATCCCCCGGATTTTTACCCCTGGAATTTCACCTCCTGTGGTCATATATAGAAATTAGTGAGAATAATTAATTTTCTTCGAAATAAATTGTTTTTCACGGTCGTATAACAAATCGCTTAAGAAATTTTCACCCAATTATCATTCAAATGGGTACTCAGTTTGTTAACATACATATTGATTGATATAACAGTTGGTCCCAAAAGTCGAATTCCGAAACTCGAATATCATAATTAAACTAATTAAACAACGAAAGCGGTTTACTTACTTTGAGATTACAAATAAATTTAAGATAGACTACTTAATAATAACATGTTTACTACTTATAATGTTTAATCTTTGGCATACTCCGCAGTTCCATGGAGTATCATCAGCTGCCATAGTTATTGATTGAGATCACAAGAAAAGGGGTGGATGGTGGATGGATGAAAAACAATTTGTCATCATAGCCATAAGCCATAACCTATAAATAAATATAATATATCGGTTTCACCAATGCATAATTTGTAATAAAATGTTTTTTACAGATATTTTTCTGTTCTTAACTATTCTGAATGTGATATTTTTACCTCAGATATTGGCAGATGAAGTCTGGGGATGCAATGGTTTTGTTAAAAGCAATGTGGGTCCTATCGATTTTGGAAAGGTTGAGGTTAAAATGTAAGTAGGCCTAGGCCTTCAATGTCAACAATTTACTACATGCTTAGTGCAGCCTATTTGTCTATTTATGATAAAGTATAAGTTTCAATTGTGCGTCTGGAAGAACACTAGAGATTTTTTATATTTTTAGTTTGGTAGGTTAGGTTAACCTAACTAACTAAACTTGATATAAGTTATCGAATGAAATAATTGATATATCGATATATTCATTCGGATGAGTGTAGGACAGATATTAAAGTGTAGCCCTTTAATATTTGATGAAACAATGGCTTAGGGACTATATTTTAAGACAGTCTGTATACAGTACAACTTTCCCAACTGTCAAAAATAAAGATGTTCAAGTAACTTATACAGCTTTCCCATTTATTTTTGTTCAGTTAACTTAATTATGCTTATAGGCTAAGGTAGTTTGAGTGTAGTCAGTGAAGTCTCGGCTATGTCCATGGTGGCCAATTTGTAGACCAATATAGGATGACTTATGATATTTGTAACTGATGGTGTCTTTTAATTAATGAATATTTAGTATTTACTACAAATATTAAATCGTTTTCCTAATTAATCTGTGATGTATCAATTTGCAGGTTTACTAAACAAGGAAGTTTAAAGTATGAAACAGAGTGTGCTCCCAATAACGGGTACTACTTTTTACCACTTCATGACAAAGGGGAATATGTCCTTAAGGTATTTATTTATCAAGGGAATAAGATTGGTTATTGCTGAAGGTTACATTCAAACTGAATAGGCTAAATAAGAATATTTTACCAAACATGGTTTCAAGGTAGAAACCTGTTTTGTTGTTGATTAAAATGTTGTCTTAACTGTATGTAATTTGTCAAATTGGTCATACGTACCTTTTAAAATGTGTAATTTTTTAAATTGTTCTGTAAGTTAAGGTTTTAAATAGATTTACTGGGTGACATTGTAGGGTTTTAACCGACTTTACACCTTAAGATTGAAATCTAAAACGTTATTATTATTTCATTTTAGCGAATTTCCCATATAGGCTAGGGAATAACTTAGCAATTTCTTTTTAATCCTTTTTCTTTTTCTTAAAAAAAGAAATAATTTAGTATACTGAGTCAAAGTCAAAGTCAAATCATCTTTATTCACAATATGCACACATAGTGCATGAGAATAGTGTCAAATCACAACTTAATACTATAACTATGACTAAAAGTTTAAAAATCCTCAAACGAGTACCCTACAGTGGTTTGTGAAAAAGGTAATTTTTCAACATATTCTTAAATTTATTGATGTTATTTTCAGTTTTTAACGAAATAGGAAGTCTATGTAACTTAAGTATTTTGCTCCAATATATGAAGGTTTCTTTTCATAAATTGCTAATCCATGGTGAGTGGGTATGACAGTATTTTTTTTCCGCGTGTTATATCGGTGAGACTGCACAATGTTCTGTTTTAAAGGATTATGAATTGCTATTAAGACCGTGTCGTAAATATATTGTCCATTTTTAAACTTTTGAAATACTCTTTTGCCGATTCTTCAGGATTCAATTGAGAATTATTCTGACAGCTTTCTTTTGTTTCTTCAAAATTTCATTAAAATTTTATTTTTTTGTTGACCCATATAAAGCCAAGCCAAATGAAATATGGGAATGAATATGCGCATGATATATCATTTTTAACACACTTACATCAGTGCATAAATATGACATTCTGCGTAAGGCGAATGAATATTCCTGAGTTAATTTTAGGAAGGATTTTTTCCACATGACGATTCCAGTTCAAATTCTCATCTATTTCCAAACCCAAAAATCTAGTAGTCTTTTCAATTTCTATTAGCTTAGAATCAATTGCAATTGTGGGTTCAAACTTTCTCCTGCACTGAGCAGTCTTAAAGGAAAAAAATTACTTTTTGATGGGTTTAAATTAAATTTATGATTGTTAAAGAAGTCTGTTAAATTAGCCAACTCTAGGCAAGATAGGATTTCAACATCTTCGGCGGTTTGTGCTGACACTTTCAGATTTGAATCATCAGCATACAACACCAAGTTGTCTTGTGGTATTTTTTGAGTGTTTGTGCAATATTTTTTACATAGCAGATAAAGAGGAGTGGGCCTAACACAGATCCCTGGGGAACACCATGTGTTACTCAATATAAATTTGACTTTTCTTTTGAAACTTTATTATACTCCGTATGGCGTATGGTTAATTCAACGTATTTAAATCTTCCTGACAGGTATGACTCAAACCACTTCAATGCAGTTCTATGCACACCAAGTGACTTTAGTTTATGCATGAGTGTAGGGTGATGAACAGTGAAGCGTTTTGAAGCGCTGTTGTATGCCTAACGGTCACGGAGAACATTCAAAAATAGTGTAATTTTAAATTCCCATGTTATTCTTATGGAGAATATGAAAACTGTTGTAGTTTACTTGTTTATGGATATATGTTGATAAAATTTGGCACATTTATTTATTTCATCCTATACTATTGACGTATGGTCAAAAAACACTTTTTACCTTCCCTGTAGCAGCAAACCTAAGCACTCGTTAAATCTAATGCTATTTAAATTGAGAATAAATATGTCTTATTCATGGAAATATTTTAGTAATAATGTAGGCCTAATCAGACAACTTGAAATTTGCTTATTCTGCAGGTTTGCTGCGGCAGGGGTATTTTATGTTATTTTTTATTTATTTCTAAAAATACAAATTTACAAAACATATACAATTTAGCTACAAAAGCCATTTATGGCTTGTCTGCAACAATTATTATAATTGTTTTTATTTCAAATGTGAGCTAATAGGCCCTACCCTAAAACTTGTGTAGGCTAGTCTTTAAAATATAGGCCTAGCTGCCTTTGTTCACCAGGCTTTTGATTTTTGGTCGTCGTCAGTAAGTTAGCTGGTCTTCTTCAACATCAGGAAGAGAACAATTTTTTTTCAACAACAACTTCAATCTGTGCATGTCTTAATACAGAACACACATAAAATGTCTATTTTTTTATTGGCAAATATTCCATGATCCTTTCTAACAGGAACTCTAGGGAACTTATTTCGTCAAATTCATTTAGTTTATTAGACTGAACTCAAATAAGAATTGATCCCTGGCTCACGTGTGTCTTGATGATTTCAGGTATCTTCCCCCATGGGTTGGAATTTTGAACC